ATGAAGTGTGTGGTGTTTGGCTTCATGATTGATGGATTGTATCTTATGCATGAGTAGTATTGGATAGAGTATGGTGTGACTCTATGAACTAGTTGGATGATTGTGTGGTATAGACTATTGTTTGTACTTGTATGATTGATTTTTGAACTCTAGCTTACCCTTCTGTTTCCATGTGGTGGAACTGCGATGATCATACTTGGTATGGGAGCAGGTCAGGGCTAGCTTGGAGTTGAGGTATCCGCTGCGAGACGAGGAGTTTTGATCCTCGTGTTAGAGTTACCATTTTGGGTAACGATTTTGTCTGTGCTTGACTGACACTAGGAAATATTATTTTTGGGATGACTGGACATATATGGAATTCCATTTTATAACTAGAAACTTAGTTATTTTCATTTTTATTTGTATATGTATATATGAGTTATCCAGCTTAATATTTCTTAGTTTCACTAGCAATAGTGCGATTCCACTAAGTGTAGAGATCATGGCGGGTCGTTACAACAAACATCTTAAAACTTATCTAAAACGTGATAATTAATTCTTATAATCTTGATGGTGAAATTTTATTTGATGAATTAAAATCCTACTTGCAATCTATCATTCAATAGGCAGATTAAATAGTTTTGTTTTGATTTTTATTAAATTATTTTTTTTAAAAAGAATCTTGATTATGAACACATCATCAATGATTTTGTAATAAAAAACTATATAAAATTAACATTCAATAATAATCATGGACACCACTTCTTCGATTCGCACGGGACACAAACACTCACGACCGATCCTACTTTGGACTTCCTAAATTTAGTTTTTCAATTATCAGTAACAATTTACACAATGTTGTTAAAAGAAAAATCTTGTGCCGGTATGACTCAGGTTGTAAAAGTTGTAGCCGGGTTTTAATTGAATAATATCTTTTCTTGTGCTTGTCTTGTATATTGAGGGATACCAAATACGTCAACTATAACATTAAATAGTGTTCCGGCTAAGGGGTGCGCTAGGGTTTCGTCCTAAGTCGAACCTCAAAGCTGCCAATAAAATATTTTAACCATAATTCTCGTTTTCTTCTCCTCAAATATTAAAACTTATAAATAAATAATATATCAAATAAACATATTTCTCCCAACCCAATAATAAATAAAATAAAATATATAAATAATCATAATAAAAATACATTAAATAACAAATAATTAAAATTTGTATTATCTCCAAATATTTTCAATAACAAAATAACTTCACAAATCTTCTTTATTAATAAAAATACTCATAATTATTTAAAAACCTTTATAATATTTTGTAAAACTCATTTAATTAATTTAAACATCCTATTAATAATTTTAGAAAACTTGGAGTGTTACATTCAATAGCAAGTATAATTGTCAAATGGACTGGATTGGTCTATATTATGATTGTACGTTATTTTTATGTTAGACTGTTTTGACCTATATTACTTTGAGGATGTTAATTTTTAGCCAAATCTAGTCCATGTTGAGTTATCGAGACAAACCGATATAATTAAAGCTATTTTTCCTTCAAAAAAATGGCTAGCATTTTATTATTATTTACTCATTTAAGAGAAATTATGAGTGTTTTGAATTTGGGAGGTTGCGAAGCAAATTATTCTTTGGGTAAAAAAATTGATAAAGGTAAATAAATTATAATATAGAAGATAAATAATAATAATATATATATATATATATATATATATATATATATATATCTCAATGAAATTAAAAGTAAAATTTAACTTTTTTTTTCTCTATATTTTTCAAAGATGAAAGAAGAAAATAAGAATGTTACAACTCAAAGCTTATATTTATGTTATTTTAATAATCATTATTAGTATTAGATTATAGAGAGAGGTAGAATATTCTCTTTGAAAATTTTTCGCTTAAAACTACACAATTTGGGTCCTTTTTTTTTTTTTTAACACGCTCATGCCTTTTAAAATTCAAACCTTTCCTATTTATTTTAAAACTAAATTATAAGTTTTGAATAAATTTAATGATGTAAATTAAAGACACTTCATTTTTAATGGTTGTTAATGTCAATTATGTATTTTTAATGATTTTTTATTTGATTCTTTTGTATGGATTTTATGATTCTTTTGTCGGTACATAGTAGTCTTAATTAGAGCTGTCAAAATGGGTTCAGCCCGGTGAGTTAATCTAGCCCACTACGGGTTTGAGTCGGGTTGGGCCAAAAAAAATGTTGAAATTTTCGGTACGGGCCAATTTTGAACCCGGTTCACTAACAACCCGACTCACCTGAGTTGAACTCGTGGTAAGCCGAGCTGACACACCAACCCGTAAAAAAAAAAATGCTGCCACCAACCCACCACTCTTAGTTTATTGGGCCCAAATTACTAAAATTAGAGTTTGAAGATGATTTTTGTTATATTTGAAATTTGAGATGATTTTGAATTATACTTGTCCATGAGATTATTTAGATTTTATTTGATTGTATTTAGAATTATCATTTAATTATGATTTTGGGCTTTAGTTGTATATTAAAAAAAAATTACATTTTTTTTAAATTAGGTGAGTCAACCCGTTTAACTCACCAACCCGTGGTGGCCCGGGCCGGGTTCAATTTTTATGAGCCCACTAATAAATGAGCCGGGTTAGGTTGGCCCACCAAATGCTCAACCCGTGGTGGGCCAGGTCGGGTCAGGCCGAATATTTTCAATAACAAAATAACTTCACAAATCTTCTTTATTAATAAAAATACTCATAATTATTTAAAAACCTTTATAATATTTTGTAAAACTCATTTAATTAATTTAAACATCCTATTAATAATTTTAGAAAACTTGGAGTGTTACATTCAATAGCAAGTATAATTGTCAAATGGACTGGATTGGTCTATATTATGATTGTACGTTATTTTTATGTTAGACTGTTTTGACCTATATTACTTTGAGGATGTTAATTTTTAGCCAAATCTAGTCCATGTTGAGTTATCGAGACAAACCGATATAATTAAAGCTATTTTTCCTTCAAAAAAATGGCTAGCATTTTATTATTATTTACTCATTTAAGAGAAATTATGAGTGTTTTGAATTTGGGAGGTTGCGAAGCAAATTATTCTTTGGGTAAAAAAATTGATAAAGGTAAATAAATTATAATATAGAAGATAAATAATAATAATATATATATATATATATATATATATATATATATATATCTCAATGAAATTAAAAGTAAAATTTAACTTTTTTTTTCTCTATATTTTTCAAAGATGAAAGAAGAAAATAAGAATGTTACAACTCAAAGCTTATATTTATGTTATTTTAATAATCATTATTAGTATTAGATTATAGAGAGAGGTAGAATATTCTCTTTGAAAATTTTTCGCTTAAAACTACACAATTTGGGTCCTTTTTTTTTTTTTTAACACGCTCATGCCTTTTAAAATTCAAACCTTTCCTATTTATTTTAAAACTAAATTATAAGTTTTGAATAAATTTAATGATGTAAATTAAAGACACTTCATTTTTAATGGTTGTTAATGTCAATTATGTATTTTTAATGATTTTTTATTTGATTCTTTTGTATGGATTTTATGATTCTTTTGTCGGTACATAGTAGTCTTAATTAGAGCTGTCAAAATGGGTTCAGCCCGGTGAGTTAATCTAGCCCACTACGGGTTTGAGTCGGGTTGGGCCAAAAAAAATGTTGAAATTTTCGGTACGGGCCAATTTTGAACCCGGTTCACTAACAACCCGACTCACCTGAGTTGAACTCGTGGTAAGCCGAGCTGACACACCAACCCGTAAAAAAAAAAATGCTGCCACCAACCCACCACTCTTAGTTTATTGGGCCCAAATTACTAAAATTAGAGTTTGAAGATGATTTTTGTTATATTTGAAATTTGAGATGATTTTGAATTATACTTGTCCATGAGATTATTTAGATTTTATTTGATTGTATTTAGAATTATCATTTAATTATGATTTTGGGCTTTAGTTGTATATTAAAAAAAAATTACATTTTTTTTAAAAGAGTCAGTATCCGACCATGACGGTACAAATAGTGACTCAAAGTTGAAATGATCCATTAATTCAATTGTAGCAGCATAGAACAAGAGATTTTTTCATTGACTTTAGTCTCTCCAAAACAAGTGTTTTGATCGCTGACAAAATATGATATCATAACTGATGGAAAAATATTCTAAGTTACAAGATTATCCTTTTACAATCGGTACTTAATCGTTGATCCAATGCATACTCGTTATAAGCACGGAACACTGGACCGAGGTATCATTAAAATTGAGCGGTTGACACTTATTTGAATTTATTATGCGACACCATAATCTTTTGCTTTTTTTTTTTTTGATTTTCATAATTAATCGCCATAAATTTCCCATAAAAATAGTTTGAAATTATGCAAATGTGTGGGACCACATTAAATGATGGTTGAAGCTGATCAAGTTGTGAACACTATTAACCGTAATATAGAAAGGACTACATTAAACCCGTACCCGTATCCGTCAATTTTTTTATTTTTTATTTTTTATAAAAAAATAACATTTTTAGATTTTTTTTATTATATTTAATTATAATTAAGTTATTTTTCTATCTCATATTATAATAAATAATCACACATAAAAAAAATATTAAAATTCTTTAATATAATTAAATTGAAAGTGGGTATTAAATTAAAAATTGGAACAGGGACGGGTACCTGTACCCGCTTTAAAGTATCGGCCGGGTTTTACCCGTACCCGTACCCGGACCCGGTCAAACCGAGTATTCTCCGTCAAAGTCGGAACGGATTCGGGTATTACCTGCGACTATGGGTATATTTGTCGTCCCTAAGTGTAAGGCTTCTACATTTATTTTTGCTCAATTTCATAGAAATTTCCCCAAAAGGATAGTAAGACTACGGGGAATTTATCAGAAGATAGTTTCAACTAGTGATATTCAAAAAGAAACAAAGAAAGAAAGAAAGAAAAGTGGCACAGCATCAATTGAATTTTGTGTATCCGTTATGTCTTCCTTTTTGTGTTTTTTAACTCTATCGTATCCGCTACTAAATTACTAACAAAAAGTAGTTATAGTTTGAATTTATTCTACAACAACATTCTTGGGACTTCCTAAATTTTGGGTTTTCAAATATCAGCAATATATAATTGTGGATCCATCCCTACATCCTTGGGTTTTAAGTCTCATGTCTTTTTGATTTAAAATAAATCAATAAAATGAATAAAGAAAACCATTTTTTTTTTAAATCCCCATGCAGAAACTAATCAAACTATTATCACTCGATGATAATTTCTGGCTGGCTAAGGCTACTTATAATATCGTTAACACTACCATTGCAACATGAGTTCTTGCAGCACTTGGTGATCCCACTTGTCCCATAAAACTCTGAAATATCCATAGACTTTTCCTTATAATCAGACTCCAAGGTGGCAATGCTGGCATCTTGTGTAACATCAGAACCTGTGTCACATTTTTCAGTCTTAAATTTCAATTGGCAACAATCAGAGGCATTATTTGTTCTGCATGAGGAGTCCTCACACATTTTAACTTTGCCTAGACAGAAACCATTACAAGGTTTCACTATATGAACTTCAATAGAGACCAAGTTTCCATTGTTGTGGTTTCCCTTGAGTGAGCTCATCTTCGAAAGTCCAGAAGATTCATCCTTGCTTGTAGTTGCCACACTGTAAGCGTTGTTTTCACAACAATCTTTACCACACTTTTCAGCACTAAGAAGCGGTTTTCTCTCATTGCTATTACTTTGCTTGTCAAGTAGGGTTATAGTCATATCTCCAAAGAAACTTCGGTATTTAGAACTTGTAGATTCTCTTTCATATTTGGGCTTCTCTTGTAATAGTAACATGCTATTCAGAATCACAAGTAAACAGGTTCCAACATCAGTCAACACAGCAAGCCAAACTATAGGGTATCCTGCAATTGCCAGTGCAAGTATTGCACTCTTGAAGCCAACTGAAATAATGACATTCTCAATGAGTTTTCTAGTAGTTTTTCTCGCTAGCCGAATGGCTTCAGGTACTTTTCGGATGTCATTCGACATGAGAATTGCATTGCCTGTCTCATTCGCAAGAGCTGAACCAGATATTCCCATTGAAATGCCAATATCAGCTGTGGCTAGTGCAGGAGCATCATTCATGCCATCTCCAATCATGGCTGTTAGCCCATCTTTCTTGAAATTCTCAATGATCACTGCCTTATCTGCAGGTAGAAGCTCTGCATGGACAATGTCAAGGGCATGGTTCAACTGCAGAGAATAAGTCAATAATTTTTCAGTTTCAATATGGATCATAAATAATGACAAAGTTGATAGGTGCCAGGCATTTGTCTAGACATGTCTTACAAGTATTGTGTTTGAAACATGTTGAACAAGCCAACAGAGTTTAGCATACTATAGATGTTTCCGTGCTTCATAGAATATAAATAATAAACAGCTATAACCAAAACTGAATAGGGTAATCTTTTGAGTTAGAAAAAAGAAACTATATATGTTAATAACAAAGTCTATCAAAATAACACCTTTTCATAAGATTGTTGGTTAAAGTATAGATTACTATGGGCATACCTGACTCTGAACATACATAGCAGCCTGAGTGCTATCTCCTGTTAGCATGACTGTTCTCACACCTAACAACTTTAGCTCTTCTATTGCCTCCAAAGCCCCTGATCTGCAAGCATCAGCTAAGCTGAAGACTCCAACCAGAGTTGGTCCACAGCATTGTTTCGGGGTAGAATTTCCATGGCTTTGAAATTGGATGTGACTATCAACTATAAATATGATGGAATTATTCGGTGAATATACTAAAATGATAGCATATAAATGTGAGCAATGAAGCAAAAGAAAAGCCACAACACTCCCATTCAGATATTCAAAATTAGAAAGCGTAATACTGTTTGATGGCGATTTTTTTTTTAAAAGAATTTTAAATGTTTTAATATGAAATATTTTATTTGAATGAAAAATTTATAAAGAATTTGAAATTTTTAAATATTTGTAAAAAAAATTTAAATTATAAAATTTCAAATTCTTCTAAAAAAAAAAAAGTAAGCTTTCTTTTTTTTCTTCTATCTCCCTCTTTCCCCTTTCAAAGTTAACATAAAAAGTATTAAAAGTTTTTATTTCATTATTGAATATTCAAAGTTCTCTTTTAAATATCAAAATTATAATATACATATTTTTCTAAATTCAATTTTATCCATGGTGAAAATTAAATTGTCTTATTCAAAATAAGAATTTAAAATTTAAAAAAATTAAATTAACTTGTTCAAACAACACATTTAAAAAATAATTTAAATAATTTAAATTCTAAAAACTTCAAATTTCTTAAATTTTAAAAAAATTTCATCCAAACACAAAGTATTTTTTTTTTAAACTAAAGATGTGGTTTTATAGTTACCTCTTTCACAGCCAGCTCTTGCACCAATTCTTTTATTGCCTATATAGATATCCTTTCCATCAATTGTACCAAAAACTCCTTCTCCTGGAAAATTTTGAAAATTCTCCACATTTTCAGGGATTGGTTTGATAGAATGTGACATTCCACATTCCACTAGTGCAGCTGCCATAGGATGACTTGATTTACTCTCAATACTTGAAACCCTACGAAGTTTTCATTAACCAAAGCAAATTAATCTTAAAACAATTATTAACTCTCCAAACAGATTTGTATTAACATTGTTATGTTTAATTAATATAATTTACCAGTACAATAAAGATTCAATGCTAATGTCATCTACAGCAACAGAAAAATCTGTCACAGTGAACTCTCCTCTTGTTATGGTGCCAGTTTTATCGAAAGCCACTGTTTTAATTCCAGAAAGTGTTTCAATATAATCTCCACCTTTCAATAGTAAACCACTTATTGCAGATTTTGTGAGAGCACAAAAGATTGCAACAGGTGTGGAGAGGATGAGAGCACAAGGGCATGCACTTAATAAAACCACAATTGCCAGATGAAGCCAAGGCGTAATGTCAGGAACTTCTAATGCAGCTGGAATCATTGCAATGCTAGCAGAAATCAAGACAACAGCTGCAACATAATATAAATCAACACGAATATTAGTATTTACTGGGACAATCAATGTTTTTCTACAGCATATTTATCAATGAAAATATTAGACTTTGAAAGTAAAAGTAACGTTAGTAAAGGATATATTTTCTTTTACTTCCACCTGCAAAAACAAAAAAAGTTTGTGTAGTATGTATTTAATACTTACCAGGAATATAGTACTTTGCAAAATTATCTATGAATCTTTGTGTCCTAGATTTTCTACTTGAAGCCTCTTCAACAAGTTTTGACATTCTAGCCACCACTGTGTCTTTTGCCGAAACAGTAGTTTTTACACTTATATATCCTGTGATGATATAAACCAAAATTATTTTAGAAGCATTGTTTTGGTAGAAAAAGTTGAGAGATAAAGAATAGCAGCTAGATATACTTAACCATTCACATTAATAGTTCCAGCCCACACAACTGAATCTAACTCTTTGATAACGGGTAATGATTCTCCTGTTAACATCTTTTCATCAACTTCACACTTTCCTTCTACCACGATTCCATCAAGAGGAATAGCATCACCAGCCTTGACTGCAAGTATGCTATTGATTTTAACGTCGTTGACGTCAACACGTTCCCCAGTTTCAGCAATAACGGCCTTTCGAGGAGCCATGCTTGTTAAAGATGACATTGCAACCATTGCCTAAGAACAGACATAAAATGTCAAACGTTAACATGAAATAAGTCTATTTATTATCTGTTCTTTGCTTAATGCTTGCATTTTACTAGCTTTCAGCACTTGAGTGTGAAGAAATAATCATAAGTATATATAGACAGAGAATCAGCTGGAGTTATGTTTAAGTAGGAAAAAAACTATGATTCACTGTTCTAAATTGTGGTCCGCAACATGTGTTGTGGCTGTAATATTGTCGTTACGGTACTCTCTACATCCACAATGGCCCACAATTACAGTAAGCTTTTAAATCATCAAAAATTTCACAACGTAATCTTAACACACAATTGTAATTGATCCGCGCAATACCATTTTATTCTACTTTTTTTATTAAAAAAGTATACAAATTTAAGTTTTAATCTTCTAATCTAATAAGTTTGGTCACAAGGGATGTTACGAGGGATAGGGAGACAACTAAAGATGATTAATTGGAGTGTTGAAGAGTGGATGATGCATTTTAAGAAAGAAAGAGAAGAGTTTGAAGTAAAAAATTAAGAAAAAAAAGTTTGATTAATTTTTATTATTATAGAATTATTTGTTTATGTTTGATATAAATATATAATAATTTGGCATTATAACAACAATAATCCGCATTGAAACAGTCACAATCACAACCATAATTTAGGATCATGTTAAGATTAATGAAGTACAGCACAAAATATTATCATTAAAAGGTACATATATTTGTTGAGTAAAAGTTGCCTAATATAACACAAAAATTGCCTTGATTTGGTGTGAAATTCTCGTACACAATAACACTTTTTCTCCTCGACTTGGTTCAAATATTGCTTCTTTTTCTTTCATCTTTCCTCGTTCACACAAATATGAATCTAGGTACTAGATATATCTTAAGCTGAAAGTGAAAACACTTTTCAGAAACAAGAAAAACCGAGATCGTTCTACAATAAGCACCGAATATCAATTCAAAATCAAATTCAATTTGAATTTGAGAAAAGACACCGAAGACAATAGTGAATTTCGTGGAACTTCAACTTCTTTCTCATCAGTTTGTAGATATATAAACCTAAATTTATGAAACTCATCATAACATACATTGGCATTGATCAATAGCAATTTCATGTAGTATTAGGTGTGTGTTGACCAACTTAGAATTGATTTCTGCGTGTGAGAGAGAGAAGTTACCAATTCTTCAAGAACTGAGATGATAAGAGTATATAGACAAGATTTTAGGGGAATTCACCTTCGGTTAAGAGTAAAGCAAGAAGATAAAATTGGAGTTTGCTTCTGCCTCTAATCCTTATAACAATGTTTTAAGAAATCATTCATAGTTGCATAACCTGGTGCTGCACATTTCTGGGTGAATCACAATTAATCATTGGGAAAGTTTTCGAAATATTAAAAAAAAAAAAAAAACCTACATATAGAACTGTGTGCAAGGCACAGGTATCTCAATTTTTCAATAAAAAATTATTAGTGTAGTAAAATGAATTAAAAAAAATTAAATATACATTATTTAGATGTTTGATATTAGGATAATTTCACTTGAACTTGGTACTTTCAACACTTTTTTCACTCTATCAAAACCTACCTATCACATATATACAAGAACATATAAATCAAGTCCTTGTGAAACATACTAGGTTTAAGCTTACTTTAAATCATTCAGCCAATATATGTGTCCTAACATTATGAACAACAAATTATCAAGACATCCAGTAATAAGCTATACTTATAAATTTTTGGAAGCCAAACATTCTCAAATAATGCATACACTAATTAAGAATATAAAAGTAATATTGCATTAGTATTTTATCATTTTCTTTATTATGATAACTTTATGATGTATATTATTTTGGCTAAAAATCTATTTTGGTCCCTTATAATAATTGTTTGTTTCAATTTAGTCTCATTTTTATTTTTGGTTTCAATTTGGTCCCAAATAAATTAATTGGTTTCAATTTAGTCCCTAATAAATTAATTGGTTTCAATTTGGGACTTCCGTCCAAATTATTTAAACGGAGTTAACTGTTGGCTACGTGGATGCCACGTAGATGCATAGGTGGATGTCACGTGGATGCCATTTTTTTTAAACACCTGGAACCAGAACGGCCCGTTCTGAAACCAGAACGGGTCGTTCTGGTTGCACTTTTTGTGTGTTAATTTTGCATCCGGAACGGCCCGTTCCAGGTGCAAAATTAACACACTAAAAGTGCAACCAGAATGGATCGTTCTGGTTCCAGACTGCTAAACATAAACAATCAATGATTATAGTGCACGGTTGTGAATCATGGAAGGAAAAAGATTCAAGGTACAAAACATTTCAAACACTGAATTTGGTAATATTATCAATGGAAATTGATAACTTCAATTGCTAAACAGTTAGGCTATACAGTGTATTATTAAGGAAAATACAATGTATCACTAAAGACAATAGTAGCAGATTTTATTTCATTTCAAACTGGAGTGAACCACTTACTACCAAATTGACACTATGCAGTAAAGGATGAAATGACATGGTATTTTTTCTTGAAGTCATTAACGATGTACCCCAACAACAACAACCTGTTCTTGAAGAGGTAGAATCTGAAGTAAAGGAAGAAGATACATAGGACTAACATTTCACCACACAACCATATGCACACTACTAGATTTTAATCCTTTAAAAACATTTTCTTGTTTACATTTGTTAAAATGTTACTATATATTATATAAATATTATTTTGTAACACTTTTTTAAAAAATATCATTATAGATAGAGTAACATTTTTTATTTCAATATTAATCTTTTCAATTGTTTTCAAAATCAAAGTCCCATATCGAGTAAAAAAAATTTACATAAGTTATTTTGCAACATTTTTTTGAAAAATGTTACTATAATTGCTTCTAAAATCAAAGTCCCACATCGAGTCAAAAAAAGTATATTTCCCTTATATCTAATTATAACACATAATTAAAGTCTCACATCGAATAGATTAATGACTCATAAAGAGTATATATACTCATATAGTTATATTTAAGATAAATGAAAATTTTGATATTCTATATATAATTAGTGGTGACTAACTAAAAAAAATTAGGATTTTTAAATGTAGACGGTTTATGCTTATTATAACAATTATTTTCTAGAACAATTATTGTTCGTAATATATTAATAATCATCAATTTATTAAATCAAAATACTCAATTTTTCAGGGGAAATGAAGAAAAGAGAATTTGTTAATATTGAATTAAATGTGTCGATATATGTCATTAAAGAAATTGAACCTTTTACAACAAGTATTAGACAACATGAATATCATCCTAGAATTTCACACCCTTTGTCTAACTCTCATCGAGGTAAAGGGGAGGGAAAAGTGAGATTAACTTCTAATTTCTTTCTATCTTGTATGTTATATGACGGGGCAATCCCAAATTCTGTATGTGACTTGTATTTTATTTCTCTTTATGATTCTCTTGCATTTTAATTGAAGTAACTGATTAGTCATAGGTAATTTTGTTCAATTGTGTGGATTTATTAATTTATAGGTGTTCGTGGATTCCCGTAGAAACCCTATAAGTATAGCGAATTGCACTAGTAAGAAATAATTAATATTAGTACAATAAAGTATATAATTGTTAGCTTATAAATGTACACTAGTGGAAAAAAAAGGCTTTTAAAATCGATTATTTTCAACTTTTAAAATCGGCTCTGTAACCGATTTTAAAAGAGCCGACTTTAAAAATTAGACTTTTAAAATCGGTTAAATAATCGATTTTAAAAGTTAACTTTTAAGATCAGTTGTTTTATAACCAATCTTAAAAGTCGGGGTTTTGAAAAAAATTAAACTGGAACAGGCCATTCCAGGTTGTTAAAAAGGCCTAAAATTATAATTTGGAACGGGCCGTTCTAGGATAGTTTGGAGTAAGTTAAAACCAACTCAGAACGGCTCGTTTCAGATGCAAAATTAACACACCAAAAGTGCATCCAGAACGGACCGTTCTGGTTTCAAAACGAATCGTTCTGGTTCCAGGTGTTTTCAAATAAATTGGCATCCACGTGGCCAACAGTTAACTCCGTTTAAATAATTTGGACGGAAGTCCCAAATTGAAACCAATTAATTTATTAGGGACTAAGTTGAAAGAACGGCTCGTTTCAGATGCAAAATTAACACACCAAAAGTGCATCCAGAACGGACCGTTCTGGTTTCAAAACGAATCGTTCTGGTTCCAGGTGTTTTCAAATAAATTGGCATCCACGTGGCCAACAGTTAACTCCGTTTAAATAATTTGGACGGAAGTCCCAAATTGAAACCAATTAATTTATTAGGGACTAAGTTGAAATCAATTAATTTATTTGGGACCAAATTAAAACTTAAAATAAAAATGGGACTAAATTGAAACAAACAATTATTATAAGGGACCAAAATAAGTTTTTAGCCTATTATTTTTTAAATTCGTAATACACATGGATAGAATAAAACAAATAATATTGTAATTAATTACAAGCTATAAATTAAGATTTTGACGTATATTATGGTCAATGTAGTTATTTTCACGATGAAAGTCTACAAGATTGATGATCTAGAATTGAATCTCAAAAAAAATTTGAAAGGCATGCACTTATCCTTTCTTGAGGGAAAGAAAATATATAATTCCAATTGATCAAATCAATAGAAATCTCATCCTTTCCTAAGTTTGAATTTTGCAATAGATCAACTTTTTATTTACAATTTTACCTTATTTTATTGCCTCCAAATTAGAGAGAAATACTTTTTTGTTAGTTTTGTATTTCTTCTTATAAAATAGGTTGAACAAATTTCACAAATATTGTTTTAAAAAAAATTTAATGAAAAAATGTGTAAAGTATAATTCTCATTTGAACTCCTTAATCAATAAACATCTTGTATAAATGCACCTAAAGTAATATTTGCAACTCCTAATCCATATATATTTATGTTATTAATTACTTAAAAGACATCAAAGACAGATGAAAGAGAATGGTCTATATAAAGACAACTAAATCAAAAAATTGAAAAAAAAAGTTTAAGAAGATTATACAAGATGTCAACCCCAAAACACGTGCTTTAGCATTTGTATATTATAAATAGAAAAATAGATGAAATCAAATTTTATACCACATAAAACATACATTGATAGGCACATTAAAGGCACACAATTTGGCAACAATCAAACAGGAAGAGTTACTGAATTAAGAAAATGCAGCAAACTGTCAAGGAGAAAAGGAGAAGTGATGTAGCCAACCTTGTGAGTTGCTCTTGTCTCAAGCCATTGAGCAATGGAGAACAGGAAGATGATGACTCCAGCCTCCCAAAAATCTTGTAAAGCAGCAGTACCACACACTGAAATATATAAACAATGAAACATAAACAGAACATTCCACCATATATCACGAGTATATTTTCTTTTCCATACAATCTAACAAGTTTTGTTATATTCTTTGGTAAGTACATCCTACCCATTTCTCACTAAGTAATCAATAAATATATAACTCAAATCAAAGAATTACCCATATGGATGTATAGAAAATGTTACCTGCCAATAGAACCAGAATGTTGATATTAAGAGTAAGAGCCTTAATGGAAGCTATGGCCCTGAATAGAACCTTAGGGAAGCCAATGACAACAGAACCAAGAGCCAACCATCCCAAAGGGGGATATACATATTTCAAGAAAGAAACTGCCAGTAAAAGGCCACACACTATTGTAGTTAAATCTGGCAATTTCTTTTCACTATCAGTCTCTCCTTGTAGTCTCAAACTTGCTTCAAGCCTTGCAGCATTCAGTGCATCAGCTGTTACAACCAAAAAATAAAGATCAAGAAATTCTTCTAGTCTATTTGAAGAAAAGAAAAAATGACTTTCAATTTTTCACCTCATTTCAGATATTTAGGGACAGAAAATAATCTAAAGCAAAACACCTATTTCAGTGAATGTTAATACAAGTGATTTACAACCTTAGCTAAAAATTAAATAAAGGAACAATAAGTGTTTTTTTTTAATTCATGAACATAGTCCTCGCAATGTCCTTAAACTGATAACAAAATATTAATCTACACTCGTTGAACATAACTTCTAATGATTAAACATCATTTTAATATTGACAAAAACTGATCATAAAAGCATCATGTCGACCGAGTGTCCTAGAATATGTTTTTCAACCAATAACTAACCAATTAAAACCCATGTGAAAGAAAGAAACAACTAACTCTTTAAATGTAAATTTTAAATTAAAGAAGTCATGCATTTGGATAATAACATGTTAAAGTTACTTGTTATGTAGAATTACAAGTATTTACAATCACTATAAAGCCTAGGAAAAGAAAACCTGTTCCTGTTCAGTTAATGTGATAAACATCACTGTGCATATGGCATCCACCAATACAGGGTCTGAGACTCATGCTAGGTTCTGACCATAGTTACCACTTACCAGGACTCATTCAACATTAAATTTCATATATAGCCAAATGCCATGACGCATGTTTTGTATGATTAATTGTATCAAATTTACCATAAAGGAAGCTATGAGTTATCATATAGATATTAAAGAACTGGTCAACTTCTCTCATAATCATTGCAGAAATTTAAATGGACCCCTGATACACCAACTCTTGTTAGCACCAAAGGAAAGTGCAGAGAAAAGGGTAAACAATTTAGTACCTATTTGTGACTCAGAAATCAAGAGAACATCATGGACCACGGTAACTGTTCGGGTAGGTACTATCACTGAAACATCTTTGACTCCATGAAGAGGCTTCACAATTCTTTCAACCAGAGCTGCTTCTGTAGCACAGCACATTCCCAACACTTCAAAGCTACTTCTCTTCATATTTTCAAACATTTTCTTTCACTGTGCGTTTGGAAAGAAAGAACATAGATCAAACAATATAGAAATTCCAAGATTGAAATAAAATACAATAGTAGTTGGTGCCTTCCCTAGCTAGTAGTTGTTTCTCTTTAATTTTTTACACTTCAGAGTTCTAGAAATGACAAAAATATTGAGTCAACTATGAAATTTAATTATTAATTTCAGAGAAATTCGGTAGTGAATATATTTTAAAAATTACAAAAAATTATATCCTGATCTTTAAGAATTATATATATCAACTTATTCATTTTTAATTATTATGTATGCTAATATGGAGGGAGACTTATTATCCACTTTGGTAGAATATTTGTATTGTCAATCCCAAATACTTGGTTTTGTTATTGTAGCTTTTTTCTAAATAATCATTCATATGGTGGAAAATATTCAAGCTAGGTCTTGTTTTAAATAATTTTAACTTATTTCTCAAATTAAGCTAAACTTTTATTCAAATATTTTTCTTTAATACACAATCAAAACAATTATATAATGTTTGTCGCACCAGTTTAAAAATTTTAGTCTGACTTGAAAATTTATTTAAAAACTTACTTCATAATAAAATTGTCAAATATGACAATAGATACTTGAAAATTTATCAACCATTGGTGAACTTAAAACTTTAAGGAAATTAATATTATTCAATTCTAATCCTCTTTATTAAAAATTAAAAATAATAGTAATATTTTCTTTTTGAAAAAGTATGTAACAACACCAAATTATATAATTATATATATATATATATATATATATTAAAATTTTAATTTTTATACATATATTATTAATGTAAAAAAATTAGATTATCAACTAATCAAGCCATTGTATATATGATTTCTAAAATAAATACTATAAAAAGCAATAATATTATCATATATAAAAATTTATTATTGGTTAATAACATAAAAAGCCTCTACATTGTAAATAATTGTTAATTCAATTCTGTATTTAAATAGACAACCTTTTTTCGTCTTCGATGTTATTTAAATTTCAGTTATTATTTTAATAAGTCTTTCAGATAATTGCGTCAACTATGTTTATCTTTTTCTTTTTATACATTTTAAAATATACTTTCTATGTTCTCTATTAAAAGTTAAAAAAAATATGAAAAAGAAATGATTTTACATGTATCAAGAAAATTGATTATCTGCAAATTTTAGTAATCTCATAATATATTTTTTTAAAATTATTCTTGTTATAAATTTCAAAAAAATGGTAGTGCAATGCTTAAAAAGAAATATGTTAGAAAATTATTAAATGAGACAAAAATAATTATATTTATGGAAAAAAAAATATGTGCATGTATTTTTGTACTTATAATAGAAAATAGAGGAAGAAAAAAAGTAACGATTGACTTAATGTAGATAAAGTGATTTTTAGTTGACTTTATATTCAATAAATTATGATGTACCCAAAAAAAAATATTCAATAAATTATTTGTCTTCTATGGAATATACATATATATATATATATATATATATATATATATATATTAACAAAAAAAGATCTACGCCTTCTAGTTAATATCATCATTTTTATATAATGGAAACAAAACCTAAGGTTGTTGCTTATAATTCGTCGAACTGTTCTAAGTTGATGTGGGGGATATCCTTACTCACCCACAAAAGTCTTCCTTTGGAATTTGAATCACACTTTTTTTTTTTAATTCATAGTAATCACACTTGAATATGAAACAAGTAATCTCAATCTTTCAACTGAACAAGCAAATTATGACCTAATCTGCTTAGGTTATGTAAAGGTTAATAATGTCATACACACGATCCATTTCTACTTTTAAATATTTATGTGACTTTCAATGACGTATATAGGTGGCCTTTTCCATTCCCTAATTTCCACTGCTGGCGGCTACTATACAATTAAGACTATATTATTAATCATTTGACATTACTCTAAAAGGGTATATATAGTAACTCTATAAAGATAAATGGATCACAAACACAAATACATGCCCTAATTATTTTGTACTTCATATAAGTTGTTTGTCCATTTGCATTTGCAGAAACAAGACATACTACGTGTTTAGTTACACGTTCCAAACATGAATTAAAGCAAAAATTACGTTTAAAACATAAAAGTTATAATTGATAGCTTTCATTTTAATGTAATAAATTATATTAAAAATCTAAACCAAACACACTAATAAATGTAGATGAATTATTGGTGTAGATGATCCGCAAAGTATTTGCAAGTTTTTAACTTCTCTTCGCATTATTTTTGGGGATCGTGTATTTGATCTGCAGTACTTTGTGTTATGAACGAATAGTACTCTGTAGACTGTAGTAGCTGAGACTGAGAGGCAATAGAAGACCATTTTTTTGTCATTATTGATTTCTTGGCCACAGATCTCCATTGGGCCTGGGTCACATGTGCTAATGTTAGTACATATGAGCATGGTCCGTATGAGTCACCATAAAACAACTATATATTATGAAAATGATTATATCAAAGTTTGTCTTAGGATGAAATGAATGAAATGAAATAACGTTTATTTATAATATTTAAATTAAATAGTATAAAATAAAAAAGAATTATAGAATGAGATATCAATTAATGTCTTTTTTCTTATCTTTTAATTTAGGATATTATTGCAATGAAGAAAGAACCAATGAGTCTAACTTTGGAGGAATATCATCCAAATGATAAGAACCAATGAGTCTAACTTTGGAGGAATATCATCCAAATGATAAGTATTGACTATTGTGGTCACATCTACAAATACTCCAATGCTTAAGTCACTTAAAATCCAAACAAAATAACAATATGTAAGTAGGGAAAAGGTGTGTAACCTATGAGGTGAGGTTGGCCTTTATAGTATTGATAAAACAAAAAGTTTACCAAAATGCATGGTGTCATGCATGATTTATGTGCGACTAGGTCAGTCTAAATGTGATTAGATCAATCTTGAGTCGACTAAAAAGTGGCTAAATCCTAAGTCAGTAATATTTAGATAGTTGAGTCGATATTAGGTCGAAATCTTTACAAATGTGTATATCTAAGGTCAACCTAAATGTGACTGAGCTATTTAGAGCATCATAAATTTCTAGAATAGTTACTTCTAAGTAATACTTAGAAAAAGTAATAATTTTTCTATATTCGTGGACGGTTTATGATGGATTTACCTATATTCTTATTTGACCCAAAATTTTGATAAGTCAATTTTGTAAACCTTAATTTAACTTGATCAAGACCCGATAAAATTTTAGAAAAATATGAACTAAACCAACTTATCTGAGACACACTTTATCTTCCTATTGCTTACCTCCATCATCACACTGTCATCGTTGTCATGCTCCACTTTCCTATCCGTAGCAATGGTTGATGGTGATGTCCTTAGGAAGGTAGGATATAGAGTATTATCATGAAACTCATTATTAAGCAAGTGTAATATAGAGTATTATCATGAAGAAATAATCAGTCAAACACTAAGTTGTTGTTGTTATTATTGTTATTATTATTATTATTATTATTATTATTATTATTATTATTATTATTATTATTATTATTATTACTATATAATTGGGTTGGGTTACAAGTCAAAAACACCAAATACGTAGTTTGACACACACAATGACGAGTTTTGCTTGAGTCAGGTCAGGTCCAAACACAGGAAATCCAATTCAAACTAGGAATGACAACTGGGCAGGGTGGGAAGGATACGGGTTTCAATATCCCCATTCCCGTCCTCATTCTCGTATCTTATACTCATCATCGTCGTCATACTCAATGAGTATGGAATTTACATCTCATTCTTGGTCTCCATCAGGTATCGAGTATACATGTACTCACTCAACATAGAGTAACAATTAAAAAAAATTACATTAATTAAGTTTCATTTGAAATAAATTTAAAATTGAGTAAGAATTATATAAATATCAAAAAAAATTCTAAAATAAAATAAATTATGTTTCTAGAAGTTTAAAGTAAGTATGGGTTGGGTATAGGTACGGGATGAGTATATATATAATGATTCCTGTACCCAATTCAATAAATCGGGTATTCCCTATACTTGTATTCATGTCTCGTTAAATTGAGTATTTTTTGCCAAAGTCAAGACGAGTTCAAACATTATTCATGGATTCAGATTTATTTATCATCTCTAATCCAAATTCATTGAGTCAATTTGAATTCACAAATTAGTTGTACCGCTTATACTCCTCCTTCCACTACCTAACTTTTTATGAGCTTCCAACTGTAATATGCTGAGTACATAGGAAATCAAACTTAATTAATATATTATTTTTGTAATTTTTATTTATCTATTTAAAAAAATGTTCTTAATTATTTGACCTTTAAATATATAAGATAAATATCTAAAAAAAATTCTCTAAAATAAATAAAATTTGATTTTAATTTTTATAAAAAAATTCATTCTTCAAAATTTGGAATCACTATCTTTAGCAGTGTTTTAAAACCCGGACCGACCCGGCCGGTCGGACCGGTCAGACCGGGAACCGGTGGTCCAGCCAGTCCGAATCTGAATTTGGATCGGTTATACAGTCGACCCGTTTCAAACCGGATTGAACCGGTCAATTTTCCGGTTTAACCGGTGAACCGGTGGGTCAAACCGGTTCAACCACTTTTTTTTTTTTTTAATTTTTTTAAGGGACCATAAATCACAAAAATAATAATGAAAATTGAATCTCTTAATGAAAAAGTAAGGAGTCTTATTAAATATAACAATGACTACTTGTTCTAATATATTTGTTTGTAATATATACAACTTAAATAACTTTTATAGTATATTATTAATTTTAAATTATATATTTAATAATTCAATATCTATGTAAATATTACATATATTATTTTGTGATATTAATTGCAAGCATATTATATATGTACATATTATTTATATTTTTAATTTGTATTAATATACCGTTTAACATGTAATTTTTTTATGTATTTTTTTACAAAATAAAAATAAAAATAATTTTAAATAAGATAGAAAAATTTAAATTTAAAATAAGATATGAATTTATTAAAATTTATAAGTATAAATATATTTAATATGAATATTTTTTAATAAAAATAAATAAAAATCGAGCCATGCGGTTCAACCAGTGACCCACCGGTTCAACCTTTGACCCACTGACCCAATACCTTAACCGGTTCGATGACCGGTCCGGTTTTTAAAACTATGATCTTTAGTCATTATAAAATAAAGAAATATTTGATTTTGATTTTCTGAAAATATTTCTTTCATTATTTTTATCTTTCTGATGAAATTTAAAGTCATTAATGTTTGTTTCTAATGTTTATTTTAATATTGATAAATAATATTTATCTAAAAAAATTGTATGTAGCGTACCAATGTAAAAATATATTTGTTTTTGAACTTCGGTGTTATAAATTTAATAACATCCTAATAATTAGGCCATTGTTACTACTCCTCAGGAGCCGTGAGATATCCTTTGACTTTAGAATAGGTCAATCTCTTCTTCCACTCCCAAAATTATTTTTTAATTAAAATAAAAAAAGATGAATACGTAAGTTTTTAATTGCATGTGGCTGGACCAGTCAGCATATTTGTAGCAGCTTCACTTTTATATTTATTGGCGTCTTCTTCTTCATCACCTTTATTCTCTGGAACTCTCCAGCTGTATATGTCGGATATACAGAAATTATATTTGTATATAATTTTGTTTCTAAAAATGAGTAGTAGTAGGACAAAATTTAAATTAAAATATGACGTAAAATATAGATCCATGTGACAGAAAAAAAAAAAGTTATAAGAAACAATATAAAAATATGTTGAAAAAAATAATATAATTAACTTGGGTAATAGTGGTATACTTGGTGCATGTAAAGTTTTTTATACCCTCACCCAATAAAAAAAATTATCATTAGTACGATTTCAAATGGAATTACTATAAAAATAAACAAACCTATTATATATATACAAATGATTTATAATTCAATAATTATGTATATAAAAAATATGTTTTTTTATTTATTTTATTTTTATTTTTTATTTGATAAGAAATTATAATTCTTTTTTTATTATATCAGTTCTTATAAAATTAAAATGATAGTTTCGATTGTAATTTTAATCTTTAATTAAATAATATAAATATCAAATTTATTAAGCTAATGATTATTCGTACATGCTTTATTTTCTCGTACAAGTTTTTGATGTATTCTACATAAGTACTTGTTGGATAATAAATTCGACATTTTCTATAACAATTATTTTTATCTTTTGTTAAATTACTTCGTTGTTGTTTCTCAATGACATATCTTGCACACTAATCCAACTTTAATTTAATTTGGCAGTCCACACCACTTCGTACAAGTATTCAGTGCACCCTTATCCATTCAAACAGAAAAAAGAATACCAACAAACCCAATTATCTCTGCTTTGTTTCACATTACTATGTTGATTTTAAGTGAATCATCACTGATGAAAACGACCTTGCTTACTTGCTGTCATGTTTGTCTGCATCTTAACTTTTTCTTGTTTCTATATAAAAAATATACTATTATTATATTAAATTATTCACAAGGAAAAACGTGTAGGGTCAAAATTAAGCCATGTGAGTTGCTGAAGTAACTCAGTTCAATTTTGATAAACATTTTTCATCCACAAAAATACAAAATAATTAAACATGAATAGAATTATAGAACAGCCACAAGGGGCTTATCTGCACTGCACCTTCATATTTATGTAACAATATATATTATATGTACAAGTAGTTGAAAGTTGTACCTAACTCCTTTACCCTAAGTGCTACTAACAGAGTCAGGTAAAGACATTGAAAAGGAACTGTCATATGCATATTCCAGATCCTCAAAGCCACAGAATTCCTCCTCTTGCTCTTCTTCCTCTGGCATTTCCCACTTCTCTTTGTTCATGTCTTGCCCCTCCATTGCCTCAAGTACCTGTCACAAAAACAATAAATTAATTAGGCCATTAAATTATGAAGATCAACTAGGAGAAACTATATACAGTGTGGCACATGATTTTTAATGAGCTCTATGTTGAATTAATGTAATTCAATTGTCTAGATGAACTCTAAAAGAAAACACATTTTACATAATAAGTTCAATGGAACAGAAATCACATGCATGTTGGTTCTTTCTAACTTTGAAGTCAGTTATTCCTTCTTAATTGGTTTCTTAGTATTTCCAAAAACTGTAACCTCATTGCATAATTTTACTTTATTTAATACCAAGATCAAATTTAAGGTTGTCTTATCATCTCTACTATCTTATTAATCATAATGGTTAGTGTTAGGTAGGACTGAACCTCAACTGAACAATAAATTTGCATGGGTCAATAAAAGCAGAAACAACAATAGGTGGCCAATAGCAATTGAAAATTTGTAATTCAAGTTCTTACATCACACTCCTGACTCGTGACTACTGCCAACAATAGGTGGCCAATATCAAATTTAAGGAAGCAATTCTTTAGAAAGATTCATTACTGCCAACAGAAAATTTTCATTTGGAATTTGTCAAACAATGACAAAATATGAAAGTTGAACTATTGATATGTCTAACCACAATTATTTTTCCGAAATTAATACACAATAGTAGTATGCTGTTATATTATCTATTTTCTTTTGATCCGAAGTATTAAAAGTTCAAAGTTTTGCAGAATGTGGCTTTATATTGCGCTGTATAATATGGGGATTAAAAAATTTATTAAAAAAAAAAAAAAAAAAAAA